TTTGCCTCTCTGTTCTTGTCACATTGAGGAAACTCTTTGGGAAGAGGATGGGAGTTGGCCCCTTACAAGCCAGTTCCTTAAGCTGGCCCAGGGGACTGGCAAACTCAGTTCAAAAGGAGATCAAACTTCAAACCACTAATGGTTTTCTTAATTGCCATAAGGAATCCAAAAAATCCGAAGTCCAAGAATCTCTCCAGATTCCTTGGCCAAAACAGAAGAAACAGCTTTAAATTGTCTCCCTTTTAGACCTCCCTAAATCACAGTTTGGACTGAATCACAGTCTTTATCCCAGTTCTGTCCCCCCCATCTCTCCTCCTCCTCCTGGCTCTATCTTACCCTCTGATTTCCTCTCATCCCCCTCACTGCTCCAGAAACCCTGTAAGCTCAGCTGTCTCTTAAAATTAAGCTTCCTGAAGAACACATCAAATGCCTTTCTGTGAACTGCAAACCCTGGCCTCTGAGCTCAAAGCCAGTGTCAAAAACTCTCCAAAGCCCAGACGGGATAGGGAGGAATTTGCCGAGGGCCTTCGGTAGTTCTGTCAGTGTGTCCTACAGGACTCACCCACCTGCATTAGCAGGTTTTCAAGTCGGCAGGAACCTTGGGGCAGCCATGGATACTCTGGAGGATGATTTAAAGGACCCTGAGCTCCACGGGAAACATGGAGTTTCAGCAGGGGCTTTAGCAAGGCAGTAAATGCTGAAAAAGGTCTTTGCATCTTCATCCCTAAAGATTTGCCTATAAATATAGATCAGACTCTAATCCAGGTGCAAAGCAGAGTCCCCCTAAGGCCTTCGGACAGGCGGGTTCTACTTTCAGACAGCATTCAGGATGTCCTGAAGCTGACAGGCCCAGGTCTCTCCCTGCATTTCACAGGGAGACCGGGGGGGGGGGGGGGGGGGTCAGAAGCCAGTCATGGTGGCACAGAGTAATCCAGAGAGCCACATACAGACAGGTACAGGAAATGACACAGACAGGCTGAACACCTTGCTGAGCACTCTGAAAATGTTTTGGGACCAAACCAAAACAGAGACTGGAATAAATATGAGGTCTTACAGGAACCAGAAGAATAAACCACCAAATGCCAAGATGTTCCTACTTTAAAAGAGGGGACTCTATCTAAAGGTGATAGGAAGGAATGGCGCTCACCTGTCTCAGCAGAAAAGAAAAAAGAGAAAAAAAAATTAAGGACTGGATCAATGTCATCTCAGGAAGGCATCTAAAGATGGAGTTTTTCTGGCTGATTTATTCTTAATAAATGCATATACCAGTTGAGTTTTCAAAAAAGAAGGGTGCTGAGCGGTTAACGAGGTTCGAGGGCATTTCCCTGACATTGCTGTGTTTCATCTTCAATCTTAAAAAATGATTATTACAGTTTCCTTTTTTTTTTTTTCAAAATGAAGAAACCAAGTCTCAGTAGAATTTTGAAAAACTGCCAGAAATGCTCAATTCGAATGTGCAGTGTGTGCTTGGGTAGTGTAGACAGACATCACGGGCTGAGAGAGAAATTATGGAAACTGTCAAAATTATAAAGAAGAACCCTAATGACGAAGAGAGAAAGGCATGCCTGGACCCCCGATGTCCTCTGGGTGCTGCTCAGGACCGTGATTGGGGTTCTTCACCTGTACAGCAGTCCGTGCTTCCCACGGTCCTTGTGCTGTTTTGGATCCGTGTAAACTGAAAACCGCACAGCAGAGCTCAGTTCTAGCCCATGACCAATGCCAGGGAACTGGGGAGGAGGGCTCTTTGTTGAGCCTCTTCGCAGATGCACACATGTTAGGGGTCCAGAGACTTGCTGATGGCCTTCATATGCCGCTGCTCTTTGAAATCTGCTTTGAACCAGTTTAACACCTCCTGGGTTGCTAGTCAATTGGTGGATATACTAAAATCCGAGGCATGTGTGCTTTTTATATTTGTATGAAAGTCATTTAAAAAAAAATGTCTAACAGCGTGAAAAGCATTTAATGCTGGAAGCACTTTGTGTTTGGAGCCCCAGAAGAGATTAGCAGGCTCACCTCAGCTCTCCCTGCTCTCGAGTGATTAGATTTTATGACCGCATACCTGACATTCCTCCAGCGATGCTAAGCCCCTATTGTTTTCTTTCCAGAGCTCTCTGATAGCAGGGCTGTCAGCTAAGGGCAGGCTGAGCAATTGGGCTCACTAACGTCTTCCTGACTGAACCGCCAGCACAAATATTTAACAGCCAGGCGGGACCCAAAGAGGAATAGGGGCCAATTAATGGGAGATAATTTGATGTTACAAAGGACCAAGGGTGAATTCTCACTGAAGGTGTTTGAATTCAGATGCAATTAACTTTAAATTAACCCTCTAGGCCCTTGGGAGTTCCACAGCCACCACTCAGTCACGTCCTGCCCAGTTGGGGGCTTTTGTGGCCTTGAGACTCACTCAGCGTGGAACACGCGGTCAAGACTCTAGCACAAAACAAAATGAAAAGGGGAAAAGGCTTGGCTGCCTTTAGAGGATGATGGTTAGGGCCTCCAGTACCAATTCAAAACAGTTCAAGTAAAGCAAGGCTTTGTGGGGTCACATGGCGGCGGTACCAGGGCAACGTGCATTCAGGTGTAACTGAGGGACAAGGCATTAGGTGCTCTGAGGGACAGAGAGAAGGGTCTTGACTAGGTAATGTAATGGCTAGTTTCCAAGATGGTCATTTCTTCCTCAGTCTCCCATCCAATTTGAGACTCAAGCCTGGCAGCTTAAAGCAACCTAGTTTTTGTCTCCCACCAACAGATGCCCGGCAAATTCAGCCAGTTCAAGGCAGAATCAGAACATGTTACACAGCTGTCTTTCTTCAAACTGGCCAGGCCTAAGTCAGAGAGAGGAACTTCTCAGAGAGTCCCTGTCCCTGGAGAAGAGACTGTCTTCCTTCTGGCAAAGCTGAGAGTCTTTTCACAAAAGGTTTTCTTCACCTGCTGAGTTTGCCTGCTTCTGTTTGTGGTGTGGTCTGTGAGATTCCTCCAAGGTGACCTGTCCCACGTGAGATTTCCCGGGTCTTTTAATTCTTTAACTGGCAGAAACAAAACAAAACACTGCACTGTTGCTGTATCCAGGAGCTTCAAACATGACGTGGGGACTTATGTGTCCTCTTGGTTGTGTGCTGTGGGACAATGGTCTTATACCCTGTAAAGATTCGTCACTTGTATTGATTTAATAAAAGGCTGATTGTCCAGAAGCCAGGCAGAAAGTATAGGAGGGGCGACCAGAACAGGAGAATTCTGGGATGAGGAAAGGCTCAGTCTGCAGTCGTCACCCAGACCAAGAGGAAGCAAGATGAGAATGCTTCACTGATAAAAGGTGCCAAGCCACGTGGCTAACACAGACAAGAATTATGGGCTAATAGAAGTTATAAGAGTTAATAAGAAGCCTGAGCTAATAGGCCAACCAGTTTATAATTAATGTTAACCTCTGTGTGCTTCTTTGGGACTGAATGGCTACAGGACTGGGTGGGACAGAAAACCTCTGTCAACAATTGTGCTGTCCCTTAGAGAGCCTCAGGCCATTCCTGTCTTGCCATCTCCTTCCCCAAGTCCAGCGGGAAAGAGCCCAGTTCTGACCAGCTCCTGGTCACTCTTCTTGCTAAAACCAAACTCTCCCAATTTACTTCATTTGGACTGATTACCAGCCTAATCACTATGTCCTGGGAAGAGTAATGTTTTGAATGGTCAGGTGAGGGTCACGTGTCCAGTATTGCTCATGATCAAACGTTCCCAGGTCCCACCCAACTCACAAAGAGTGGGAATGGGGGAGGTTATTACAGAAGAAAATCAGTTGACTGAACTATAGAGAGACCAAAACAGTGCACAGGAGTAACACGCACGTTAACTGAAACTTTCAGCTCAACAGCTTTGTCAAGTGACTTTTCTGCAAATGGCATAAAATTTTATTTTGCATTTAATTAATTACATAATTTATTTGGACTAGTGCAGCTTCTTATTTGAAAGAGCAGTTGTCTGGCTGGTTGGCAGCTAAAAACCACCCATCTGTCTATCCATCCGTGCTCATGAAGCAGCTCTTATAGGTTGGTCCCTAAACCGAATGTTGGGGGAATACAAAAATAAAAACTGCATCACCACTGCCAAGAGAGAGAACATTATTGCCTTCTTGTTGTTTTTATTCTTGGCCATTAGATAATCTGTTGAGACTAGAATCTTGCCACACTTCGCCGACGAGGTTATGTAGAACTGGATGTTATCAAAGGTGTGGGAAGCCATCCTGTGCGTATTTGCAGCCTCTCAGGTCAGGTCTTTTCACTCCCCACACCTGCCCTGTCTCTCATTCTTTGGAGACTACCCAGGGTTCTGCAGTGCCTTATGAAATGGTCATAGCAGAATATCCCTGGTAGAGTCATAGTAGATCTAACCATTCTATCCACACCACCGGGATACATAACCAGAAGTCAGCTGATGGAATACCTTCAGCCCGTCGATGACCGCTTAGTGAATCATCCATTGCCACTTGCCTCACGAATGGTCCTTAGCGTGTCTACGATACTACTGAAAGCACGGAAAAGTCCACGTGATGCAATTCCAGGACCTGACCACATTCAGTGTTAGACCGGCAACTGCTCTGGTCAATGCAATGCGGTGAGGTTTAGTTTTGATATGCGCTTCTGTAGTGTGGGAGCTCAAGTTGGGTTTATAGCCAAGTAATCCCACAAGACGCTGAAGATCACGTCTGAAGGGTGAAGAAGAATGAACGAGGTGAGCAGCAGGGTGGCAGGGTGGGTATAAGCAGTGACTGGAGGTGGGAAAGGCAAAATGGCTGGAAGAGGATTGTTAATGCTGAAGAACGGGCCTCAGTGTGCATGAATCATGTCGTGTAAAACAATGGCTTTTAAAGCATGACTTATTGTTATCACCGCTTCCCAGCTGAGGAAATAGGCCTTCCCAGAGCCCCACACCCACATGAGCACAAAGATTAAGTTACTCAAAGTCACTAGAAGAAGTCGAGCTGGGATTTGAATGATTAGTGTTTGGATCAAGAAGCCCTGCTCGCAATTGCTCTATTACAATGACTTCCGGGGAAAAATGCCAGCGTGTCAGGAACTTGGAAAGTAAAGGGAAAGGAGGTGAAGTAAGACGGCTGGAAGAGAAGAGGGGGAGGCAATGGAGGACTCCGTAGGTCAAAGAGAACTGGGCTTTGTGTGGAAATGAACTGGTCTAACAAGGCCATGATGAGATTTATGTTTTCAGAAGATACCTTTACTTGGTAGGCTGAGCAGAGGATTTGAATCAGGGAGCTTGGTTAGAGCAAATGCTAGTACAGTTGTCCAGGTGAGAGGGACCATTGAGTAAAGGTGGTCATAGTTACAGTTCCACAGATGGGTGGACTCAAGAGGTGACGTATAAAATCCCCTCTGTGCAGTGACCGGTTACAGGGAGAAAGGTTAGTGGATTACAGACATTCACAGTTCATGGGTGTGTGGGACCATGGCTTACAAAAGTGGATGTATGATTCATGGTCTATGAAAGGGGTTGGGCCCATGGTTTATGAAAGTGTATGGATAGATAACCTGTGGTCTATGGAAGCAGATGTATCCAAGGTTCATGGAGCTGGATGGATCCATGTTCTGTGAAATTGGATGGACCTATGCTTTATAGAACTGGATGGACATCCATCCTCTGAGCTGGGGGCATAGACTATAAAGACTTAGCAAAAAACAGTTTGATATATCACACAAAGCAAAAATACTTTGACATAAAATTCCCCCTTTAAAAACATGTATTTTGTAAAATGCCTGATTGTCTGCCGGACTGAAGACTGATGCCTGGTGAAGGGACTTCCTCCTTAAGACATAGCGATGCTCCCTGCTTTTCCCAAAAGTCTCCTCCTGGAGTTGGGAGTGTGTGTGGGGGGGTGGAGATGGGGTACATTCTAGATGGGGTAGTGATAGGAGCCAGGGTATCTATGACCTGAAGAGAGACAACTCAGACAGTGTTTGTATCAAAGCTGAAAACCTGGAAAGTTGGGAGTCTTGAGTCATACCCTGGGGAACTTTTAGCTCCCCCAAGCCTCCCATGGGTTCCAGGGTTTGAAGACAGCTTTATACTTTGGGTGTCAGCCAGACTTCTTGAAGAAATGACTCCCCCGGCTTCACATTTTCTGCCTCAATATCCCTGCTCTCAACCATATACATACATACATATATAAAATATATACATATATACACATGAGTGTATAGTTGCATATATGTGCATCTATATAATTTAGACATATCTGCAAACAGCAATAAACCCAAGAAAGACCTATATGATGATCCAGTTTGAAACCAGCATCATCTTTCTCATCCTTGAGACTTTCCTGACTTTGGTCACACAAGGTCATCTTCAGACTTGTTCCAAACCCTAAATCATTGCCGGGAGAGGGTGAGCACACAGACAGGGAGCAGGCCCAGAGGAGCAACTTTCCCTTTTTAAAACCACTTACCTAGGCTAGGGATTCTTGTGTTGTTCGTGGCAGTGTACTTGCCGTGGCTGGAATGAAGAGGAAAGGACACATGACATTGAGTCTGCTCCTGTGTCAACACATTTCCCACCAGCGCCAAGTCTGTGTAGACGGTAGGTCTGATGGTGGAGTCTATTTGTGGATCATAGGAGTCGGCAGCTTTCTCTGCAGAAGGGCCACAGAGTAAATATCTGTCACTATATTAATATTAATATACAATTTCACCATTATATATTTCACTAATATCAACCGTGTGGCCGGTATTACAGATGCTCAACCCTGAAATGCGGTGTGATAGGAACCACTGCAATATATAAATGAATGGGCGGGACTCTCATACTGAAGGAAGCCAAGGACTAGATCTGGAAAAAGGGCTGTGGCTTGTCAACCTCTTGCTTAAAATCCTTTAGTGCTGCACCTGTGCCCTTTCCTTTGAAAGCCAGAGTCCTTGCCAGTAGGCGAGGCCAGTTGCCATGCTGTATCGTGGAGTGGTCTGCAGAATTCAGGTCCCCTTGGCTGTGTACTTCCCCTGATGCCTATAGGCCCTCTCCCTATGGCGCTTACCACGTGACAGTTTGTTCTGTCAAACTTATCAAGTGAGAAGAGAGGCTCTAGTGAGGAGACTCCCACAAAGACTGAACAAGTGTTTAGCGACAAGTCTTAGGAATGACATCTGTTACTAATTTGTGTGTTGTAACACTGGGGGCAGAACCCAAGACCTTGCACACGCTGGGTAAACACTCTGCCCTAGTTTAATGGTGGTGGCTCCTCCCAAATACATGCAGAAGCTAAATCCCCCTGTAATGGAAGAAGGTATGGCCTCTGGGAGGGTCTAAGTCCTGAGGACTCCTCTCCCCCACCTCCTCCATGAATGGAATTAGCACTTAGATGAAGGCAGCCCTCTGTTTTCCTCTGCTGCTTTGCTGTGTGAGAACAGTGTGCCTCCTTTTGTCAGGAGGTAGCACCAAAGTGCCCTCTTGGGAGCAGAAACAGCTCTCAAGGACACTGGACCTGCTAGAGCTTCGGGTGTGGGGTTTCCCAGCCTTCAGGACAAGGGAGTAGAGTTCTAATACACGTAAACCACCCCAGCTTAAGAATGAAGTCAGTTGGCCCCCTTCTTCACATGAAGGGGGCTTGATACAGGGTATGGATGCATCTGTGGTGATAGGAAACACTGGGGCCCTGCTAGGAGCTGCCTACAACACAGCTGAGGGAGATGAGGCACCCAAATGCCAAGGGCTTGACCTGAATCTTCCTCAGTAACAAAGAACCAGGGAACCTGGTAATCTGATCCCAGACCTGTGCAGCTAATCTCCAAACCCGGAATGGGCAACCGTATTTGCATAGGAGCTTTTAACCTGTAGCCCACATTGTGAGGCAGAGTCTAGACTACTCTGATTTCAAAGAGCATGAGGCTGCCTGCGGTGATGCTGATGCTGACCTGGTGGGTCTAGGGTGGGGCTAGAGAGCCATGTCTGCAAGGTTTAGATAGTGGGGATACCACCATATTCCCACAGTAGCACACACCCAAAGGGCAACTCCAGGCTACGACATAAACAGTGTTTTCTGTTTCTGATCTGTTCCTGAATTGGTGAAATGGACCAATCATTTGTACTTCAGTATTTTTTAATTCTCTCTGTGTGTGTGTGTGTGTGTGTGTGTGTGTGTGTGTTTATCTGTACCCACAGTACCCTTGCAGGTCTGAGGTGTTGGATATGTCCGAAGCTGGAGTGATAGGTAATTTTGCACCACCCAGTGTGGGTGCTAGAAACTGAACTTGAGTTCTCTGGAATGCAGTCAATGCTCTTAGCTGCTGAGCCTTCTCTCCAGCCCCCAGGTTCCTATTTTTCATATGTACATCCATTTCTATCCAATATTCAACAGTTGACCTCTCCATAACAGGTCATCCTAATTATTAAACCCTTTGTTTTATTTTAGTACAATGTAATAGCTATACTTAGTAAACATAGTAGCTATTCTTGCAGGTTTGACTTAAGTGTGACATCCAGTGGAAAGGCCTGCCCTCCCGAAAAACAAAAACAAACAAAATCCCACAACTGCCCTAGAGTCTCAGCCCAGGATGCTTTTGTCTCCTTGCCTGTGTGCTTGTAAATTGCTCTTTAATTGCTCACTGCCAGTGACCGTGAATTGCCGGCCTTCTGTGAATTTATGAAAGACATTCTTTCCCCAAGACGCCATGCTTTCATCTACTGGGAGACAATTACAGTGGCTGTTGCTGCTGCTGGCTTTGAAGTCGCCCAGCACGCTTTGCCTTTCTCCTTGTTTGCTTTCCACATGGGATGACAGCTCCCAGGGCTGTGATTGTCTGCTCTGTCTTTGGATCCCTGGAACCCCACACACCTAAGAGGTTGAACGCAGGCCAAAGAACATTGAATGAATAACTTCATCATAGATAACATTAGAAAGTTTAAAAAGTCCCAAAAGAAAACAAGACAAAATGAAGAGATCACTTAATTCCTTCAGTCTTTTTTTCCACGCATCAATTCTCATGTTGCCCACTCTTACATATGCACCCTGATATGTAATGTGTCCTTTCCCTTTGGATGACAGCTGCCTGCCATTTATTGATGCCTACTAAATGTTTGGAAAGATTCATTATAGTAAGCCTCATTTGCTACTGTCAGCTTCCGGGACCTTAGAGGCTAGGTAAGGGGAGAGACACCTTATGGCTGAGAAGGCATAGCTGCTGCACAGTTCAATGTTTTGAAATTGCTCTTGGCATCTTCAGTATGAAGCAAGGGGATAGCTGGTCCCAGCCTTGTCATAGCATAGGGGTGGAGATGCCCCATAGGGACCTGTCTGGTTCTGAGACCCTTTGAGAGCCAAGACAGTTCTCTCTGTCTTTCTGTCTCTGACTCGTGTGCGTGTATCTCTGTTCATACATGTACAGGTACACATATATGTGTGTGTGCATGTGGAAGGCAGAGCTCATCCTCAGGAGCCATGCGTCATTTAGAATTCTTTCTTTTATAAACTTTATTTCTAAGAAATCATAAAAAAAAACAAAAAATGAAACAGAAAAACACACCAAACACCAGAATTAATTAGACCCAAAGTCTACATTTCAGTGAACTTCCATACAAAAGAAAAGTGGTGAAATGGACCAGGAAGGGCATCTGTCCATCATCTCCTTCAGCAGGAGAGCTCCAGGAGCTATTTAGCCAGAGTTGCAGGCATTTCTGTTTGTTTCTTGTTGAAATAGGAGCGGCGGGGCTGCGTCCCCAACACCCCGGCCGCTTGGCTAGCTCATGCCCAAAATAACAACACACAAACTGTATTCATTTAACTGCTTGACCCATTTCTATCTAGCCTCTTCTAGGCTAACTCTCGCACCTGGACTAGCCCATTTCTA